CAATCCTACTTCCGTAGTGATACTGCCTCGGAAACCCAAGGAGGGGTCGCTATGAGTCGGGGCCAACTCGACGGCACATAACAACAACAACAACGATAAAGCATTCGGCTAGACACCAAAAATGACATACTGTATACGACTGACAAACTTGGCCCTATTAAAACTCTTAGGAATCCAGTATCTAAGATGTATGTTACAACTCATTTCTGTGATGTTTGATTTTCTCATCAAATTAAGGTTTATATGGAGCAAGTGACAGTAGAAGGAGCTCTGGTGGTGTAGTGCCTAAGGCATTTGACTGCTAACCAGAAGGTTGGTGGTTTAAACCCACCACCCACTCCTCAGAAGGAAGACTAGGCAATCTACTTCCACAAAGATTTAGCAACTCAGAAACCCAAAGGGGGTCACCATGAGTCAGAATCAACTCAATGGCAGTGAGTTTGTGTTTTTTCGAGAGACAGTAGAAAAAATAAGAGAATTAATAACGTCGCCCTAAAAAATTAAGTATATGTTTCAGTGCAAATCCATACCAGTACCAGAAAAATAAGAGCCAACACCATCATCTCCTGTGTGTTTGAGGACCGGGGATGTAATACTGTTTTCTCTACACTGGCCACTCAAAACAGCCAACTGAGACAGCTCCAGAAGCAGAAAGGCTCCCCAAGAGCCAGAGTCCCAGGGCTCTTAGCAGCCAGTCCACGCTTAGCACCTGCCCCCAACAAGCCAGCACACCGCAGCTGTCCAGGGAATCCCCTCAGGTTATTTTATCAAATACCAAGGCCCCGGCCACTAAGGGAAACTCACCACACTCCCCAGTGATGGGAGTGCACACTCCTCTCTGAGAAGAGCTGCTCTGAACGTCTCAACGCTCGTCACCACCCCTTGGGCCTTCACCAACCCCACTGAGAACATCAAGGGCCTCGCAGTTCACCGGCCTCCTTACCATGGCCTTGCTGGCCTAGCTGACGGGTGGGAGGGACCCAGGATGCCCCGTGATCCTGCTTCCAGCACGGGGCCAGTGTGCTCTACTCACTTCCCGGACGTTCCCCTAATGAAATGCCTTCATTCGATGACCAACTTGGTTTCTTCAGCCAGAACATTTTCACAAGATTATCCACACATCATATAATCTGTACAGGGGTGTTCTCCAATGTCACAGACAGTGATCTTAAAATCACCATCAAAAAAGGCCTTTGAGATCGTTGGTCAAAACTTTCAAATTAAGAAAACCTCTTCCCAGGTTCACATTCATCTTCCAACAACCAAATTCCACACTGGGTAAGTGGTACCTCCTATCATGATAAAACATTCGCAAGGTAGAAAGTTGCAGGATCCAATTTCCATTTTAATTTTTATGGGCTGACAACAGGCAGAGGGCAGCATAGCCTCGTATTACACAAACCTAGTCGGACAGCACTTTCAGTTCTTATCTTAAAACTCCTGGTTGATCAACTAAAGCCAACATAAAACTATCTATAAACCAATACCTTAATTACAATTTCTGACATGACCTTATTTACTGTCCCAGTAAAGTTCCAAGTCACACATTAAAAAAGTGACCAAAAATTAAGATACTGATTTGCTTTCAAATGCAAAAACAAATTAAAAAAAAAAGACACTACCTTTCAGAAAAGCATGAAGCTCTGACTTGACAGTATTTCTAGCACTAAATGAAGGCAAAATAAAATAAATTATTGATTTCTATTTGAACTGACTGCTGCCAAATAAGCAAATGGCCAAATTATCTATTAGTTGAAAAATTGACAGAAAATATACTTTTTCTATCAGGTGTATCATAGTTCATTTAGCTTATTTTATAATACTATACGCCAACTTTCAGCCAAACAATGAGAAGGTATATAGGGTGAACAGTAACACCAGGGAGGTACACATTTCTTAGAACAATCAACCACACGAGATCAAAGACAGCATCTGCCCAGGGACAAAGAGATGGGAAAGAAAGATGAATGGAAAAGTAAGCAGAGAGAGGAAGTGGGAAAAGTGCCACTACAGTGTAGGGACTGACATCAATGACACAAGACAAAATGTGTATGAATTGTTGAATGGAGTACCAATCTGCTCTGTAAACTTTCAATGAAACAACAATAAAATGTTTTGTTTTGTTTTTAAAGAAGAGTAAATTATTTTCTGCTTTATTTTTCATGAAACCATGTATACAATTTTTTGAAGTATTCTGGATTTTGAATAGTTAGTGAGACAACTACGTCCTGAGGGTGTCTGGTGCTGGTGTTGGTGGGAAAAGGCCTGTTTCTTCAAATCAAAGTGCCACCATGTACTGAAAGTGGGATAACGCACTCCCACTAAACCCCAAGACAGAAAACGCAGATGCATACTATACATCCCACAGGTCGTGAAAGGATTAACTTGTATTTTGGATTGCTTTGTTCCTAATATGAACTCTACTGGCTCTGAGATTGTGCATGCTTACAGCTTTACTATAAGCATGATTTTAAAACATGACATTTCTACAAGCATCATCATTTTCACTAAAGAATGGATGAAGTGGTAGTACTTGGAGAAGATAAGTGTTTGACCATCTATGGGAAAATCATTAAAAAGCAGCACTTTGGGGAACTTGAAGCAAGTAGATCATGCCCAGGGCCTGTGTCTCTTCCGTGTACTGCTGATCACAGTTCCAGACATAATTAGAGTATTAAATTCTTAAAGGATTTTTAATGCACTAACAGGAAAAAAGAGGTGCCCTGGTGGAGAAGTGATTAGCACTCGCCTGCTAACAGAGAGGTCTGCAGTTCAAACTCACCAGCCACTCCATTGGAGAAAGACATGGAAGTCAGACTCTGTAAAGATTACAGTCTTGGAAACCCTGCGGGGCATTTGTACTCTGTCTTACAGGGTTGGTCTGAGTTGGAATCGACTCCATCACGACGAGCATCAGGAAAGAACATTAATTCTGTACAATTTTTTTAATTTTTTTTTAATGTCCTGA